CTATATATTAAAGATAGATATTTTATTTATCTGGAAGTATATTCATATACCTATCCATTCCGATTTGTCTCATAATCCTAATCTACACATACATACAACTGAATAAAAGGGTTGGCGTTTTATTCACATTTTCAAAACGCAGGTCCACGATGCTGTGTCTTGTAACAGAACTAAAGTCTAAAGCTCTTTTCAGTTTTTGGCCTTGGTTTTATTCAAGTGTTGCCTTTTTGTGCAGTAGAAATACATTCAAGTAAATGGCAGAAACCAGTGAAAAGCAAACTGTGCAAATGAATTCTTTTCATATGAAGATGAGATTTCCAACAGGTCACAGAGATTTATGCTGATTTAAGTAATGAACTTGGAATAGCTGAGTCAAATCGTACAGTAACGATGCAAACATATTAATTTATATACAATGTAGACAATGTTGTATGTGTATATAAAATACATGTATTAGTATTAGTATTATAATGTTGGCATCTGTGCAATACGGTCATGTTGTTTAACATCATAAAACACAACAACAAAACTACTGATCAGACATGTTATTTTCAGTTAGATTTTCAGTATCCTAGTACAAGGCTCCTTCATAAAGATCACTGCACAAGACAAGAGAAAGAGCAGTTGAGATATGAGAAAAACCTTAATGTATTATGTCTCCACTCTCTTCTATGAGATTCAGAGATTGTTGTCATGGACCTGTTTTGCACAAACTTTGGCAAGCAGCGGCGTTGGCTCGTTCCCCCCCTCTCCCCCTTCATACAAGAGACATAAATGATAGTTCAAGGACTGATCCACTCCTGCTATTGGCAAACAGGTTAGCCGTTAGCTGCGCACCGGTCCAAATTGGCAGGACACGGAGGAGAGCGCTACCGCTGTGTGTGGGCGGTGAGCGGAGAGCTATTTCAATGTGGAGCCGGTTTCACACATGTCTGGTTTCCCCAGCCCCTGTGTCTGCTCTGACACTGCATTTTGGCTTTGTGTTTTTGAAGGAAAAAGGGGAAAGTGATGCACTTCTACTTCTTTTGTTCAAATGCAGATTCAAATTAGCCATTTTCAGCAAAACCCACATTGAAATACATGTGCAAGTCCCCCACTAGACAAGTAAATAAATAAAACAAGCTAAAAAGTACAAGAAACATTGTCACTGTGAAAGTACATTACAGTGCAACAGCTACTGGAAAGAAGCATATCGAGATGTCCTGCATCTTGGCAAACAATATCTTTTGCCAGAAGGAAGAGTCTGGAACATGGCTTTTCCAGGGGCCTGCCAAGTCATTAATTATTTTAAGGGCTTTCTGTGATCAAGCACGCTTTCTGATGTTTCAGGGTTACTACCATACTGTCGTTTAAATGACTAGACCAGGGGGATTCAACTCTGTCACATTTCTTCAAGTGAGTCCAGTTTTTACCTGAAGACTTGAGGAAATGAGTGGTGGGCTCCTGCTGTTGGAATGAAAAACCTTTGAGATTAGAGTGGAATACCCCATGATGAATTTGAACTGAATTTATATTATTTTTATGTTGTTTTGGTGATACAAAGATTAATTGTGTAAGTAGTTATCAAAAGAGAATGTATTATTCAACAAATCCAAAATACTGTCTGTGATAGATACGTACTAATGTCATGTTTAGGTAAAAAATAAATATTTGAATGGAGCCTCCAGCATCAGTGTGACTGATATCAGTCCAGTGACTGAGAGTCTGGTCGGACAAAGGCTTCACTGTTGTCTGTGATCCTATCGGGATCTGGAAGTGTCTGAAAACGCTCAAAGTTGCCTTGAAGCTGACCATTGGACAAACAACATTACTAAAGGATGGCCTTTTCTTTTTTTTAATTAACAGTTTCCTGCTAAGGTAATGTGGTTTTCTGAGAGCTTCCTTAATTACAGCACTTACAATAGTAAAGTTTGTGGACTTTTATAAATGTTTTGTAAATAAAAATGATTAAAATGAATTAAAAAAAGCAAAATACATGGAAAATAAGCCGTACCAAGCTGCTGTACAGACGTACATGTCTGTACAGCACTCCACAGTGTATATAGTGTACGTGTGTCCACTTACTGGCAAAGGTTAGTGGAAATACTGTGGCAGAGAGAGAATTGGGGTTGGACTTCACAGAGAAGCTCCTTTTGCTTAGCTGGCTTGATGCTAACTTGTTTGTCTCGCGGGTGGCAGTTGTCATGAGTGCAGGGCAGATGCGGAAGCAGAGCACGGCAGACTGTCACTCCTCTTTGTGTCAAAAGCACATAAGGCTTCAGGACACAGCTGGTGGCGCTAATATTAACTTCAGCGCCGACCCCTTAAGTTTCCGTTTTTCTTCCTGTTTACATTCTGCTACTGTAGCTATCAGTTCAAGTACGGAACGCGTGTGTATGCGCCGCGGACACGGGAGTGAGCCTCTTTATTAACGAGCATACGAGCACTGAGAAATGAATGAATGAGAATGAAAGAACGAAAAGTTTACCGTACGAGCAGAGCGACTGGAGCCAGGCAGGATACAAGTATGTGTTGGTATGTTCTGGCGATTAAACAAAGACTGATTCTTGAAAGAGTTATTGCAATAGCACCGCACTGTGAGAGCAAGGGTCAGAACAGAAGGAGATTTCCGTAGGAAATGCTTTTCTTAGGCTCTGGAGCGACACACTCCCCAGGGCCCCTTGACCATAGTCCGGGGCTTATATGAAAGGTTTAACACAAGCGGAGAATACAAAAGTGCAGGAGAGACATGTGTGAAAATGCGCGTCACAACGGAAGACGTTATGTGATGCACAATATCAATTCCCTGCCACACCTCATCCCCCACTCCCCACTCCCCGCCACCCACCGCGCTGACCCCCCTCATCCGGCCTTTAAAGCGGGCCCTGGCTCAAGTAATCGTGCTCAAGCCCACATGCCGCGGTCACATAGCACCTAAAGCCTGGATCTAGTCGCGAAGTGGGCCCTGGCCCACTTAAACCGGGCTTTAGGCTGTGCATGTGACCGCAGCCCTAGAGAGAAAAAGTGAGACATTTTGGGGGGCCCATATTGAGTGAGGGATCCACTTCCGCGGACGGACAGGCTCTAGATCCAGAACTGAGGCTGTAGATTCACCTGTAGATCCAAGACTGAGGCAGTTCATCTAGAACTGAGGTAGTTTTCAATATTTTGAAACCTTAAAAACAAGGTCATTTATATCTGTGGAGTTACATTGACTTCTGCATTTTCAAAACTCAGTCAAAAGACACACAGAGGACAGCCGTTTGCTTGCAGAGACATGAATCAGATGGCGTGGTGGCTTTTCTTAGCTTTATCTCTACCGGCCATTTTATTAACACACTGTCGGCTCTATGAATCAGATAGCTCCCAGTAAATAGCGTTCCACCGCCGCTTTGCCGCTATCAGCAAAACCAGCTACATATCACCACCACCTCATTGGTTCAAATGGCCGGCAGGGACAAGCGCCCGTCTTTCTCAATTAGGAGCGTTCTTGTTTAGGTGCATCTAGGCGATTGAAAGGGGGAGCTGGTATGTCCACATGTCCGTCTCTGAGCAGTCTGAACGGACTCAGATGGGTTGCTGGAGGGGGATACTTGAGTCAGGGGTGGTCCCAACTAGCCCTGAGTGATGTCCAACCTCCTGGTGGGATCGCTAATGAGCCAAGACATTGCATGCAACAGAGAAATAAGCAAAAGGGGAGCAATCAACAGGATAAATATAGAGTTGGATTGTGTTTTAGATCATTGGTTTGTGACTGGGGAAGTATGAGGTTGTTTTTTACTTACAGTGTGAACAGAGACAATACACATAATACAAAATAATTGTTTGAACAAGAAGAATGAATGAAAAGGTTTTCTTGCTTACTGCCATGCTGAGTATATAATAAATTAAGAAATGACACTTCTGGCCTCTGTACGTCCGTAATTCATGTTATTACTGCAAAAACCCTCTCACTCTTGCAACTCTCTCTACCTCTCTCACATACACACACACACACGCACGCGCACACACACACACACACACACACACACATACACACAAACAAACACAAGCCCAACACTCTTTGAACCCTACATCTCTTTCCATCCCTTGAGGGCTTTCCTCCCATAGACAGTATACAGATGAACAATTCTAAGCCACTAGCTCAATCAAGTCCAGTAGTAAAATGCTCGCGGTGAAGTTTGGCTCCTACTCCCTGTGACTACTATTGACTTACTGTACTGTACATGTAAAAGTAAACTCCACTAGCTCAGTAACCATTGCATTGAGATATTGTCTTTGTAATGTCTTTGTGTTGATCAATCAGATGCCTTCCATCATGGGGAAAAATCTAGTTTGCCTTGGCAAGCGTCTTAGCATCAGGTCTGGCCCTGCTACCTCAAGAAGCTAATGGCGTGGAAGATATACAGATTCTGGCTCCTGCTAGCAAATATTCAATTCCTTTTCTTCTACATTAAGGCTAACACTAGCTGCGGTCCATCAGGACTAGAACCTCCCGCCACAAGAACAGTTTCTTCCCCTCTGCTGTTGGACTCTTGAACACTTCTTAACCTGTCCCCCCGCCCTTTATAAAGTCACTTTACTGCCCATCATACGTCACTTTACTTCACTGTACTGCTGTCACCTTACATTGTGTGCACCATGTGCACTTGTATATTGTAAATAGTAACTGTAACTCTATTTTAAATTTAAATTTATTCTTTAGAAGTGTTTTTTATTCTTATTTTTATTATCTCTTTTTGACTGTTGCACTGAGCCAAAGCAATTTCCAAGTCTGTGACCTCCCGTTACTTACGTTGGCAATAAAAATGATTCTGATTCTGATTCTGATTCTGATTCTGATGTCACACTCTGTCAGTCGACTCCTTATATATGTTTCCTCCACAAAGGGGAGTGTGATAACCCTGTTCCATGACTCCTGTACATGCCCATACATACTGTACATATTACAATAGTCTTGATCATGAATTTTTGAGTTTACCAAAGGTTAATATCATGTTCTTTCTTTGTTTGATTTGAAGGAAGCTGCACATTCGACGAAGGCTTCTCTCAGTGTGATTATCAACAGGATCCGTACGACGACTTTGATTGGACTCACATCAACACACAGGAAGTGCCATATGTGTCACCTGACCTGCCAGCAGGTGAGGCATTTGTCCAATGCAGGGCGTCCAAACATGTCTCATTATTCACATTCTCATTCACAGTGACATTTTTAAGCTCCAGCATGTGACTGGTCATAGTTATTTCAGGGGGAGATACTATTTTGAATATACTATTGTTGAAAAATACACATTATACAGTGTTGCATTATAAATATTTCTGTACATTTTTATTTGGCTGCAAAGTGGCACAATGGTTATTGCTTGTGCTTCATTAAGGTCCTGCGTTTGATTTAGGGCTGGGAAAAAAAAATCTAATTAATTAGGGGCTTTGTAATTAATTAATTGCAATTAATCAGATTTTAATCGCGTATGACTATTTGACCTGAGAATAGTGAGAAGTAATTTTATTCCCATCCACGGGGCCAACCAACGCGGTCACATGCGCTTTTTTGTTCATGTTCACTGTGCCACTGTAGTTTGTTGTTGACTGAATCAAATTCATGCGCATTAGTTGGTGCTCCAGTACAATTGGTCTGTCTGAGGCCCCGTCCACAAGTAGCCGGGTATCTACTAAAGCAAAGATATTTGACTTTGTTTGGACCTGTCATCCACATGACAACACGTCATAAACGATGATATAAAAAAACTTTTTGTAAACTCTGTTTATTCATTTGCCTGTAGACAGAGATAACTGGCGATTTCGCACGTCACGTGTGGAGCCAGGATGTTCGCATCCTGGCTCCACATCAGAGAGCAGAAAAGTGATCACGGGAACTCGAAAACAACCAAAACACAAGCTAAACCAGGATTAAACCAGGGCTGAGGACAGGGGACACAGTGCTTGTAAACATATGTCTTCACCCTGAGTTTCTTCTATGACTGTAAAAGTGCCGCTACAGAAGTACCGGCGTCAGCATCAAAGCTCTGCCCAGTAGTGTTTGAGTCTTGTCTTAAGAACTACTTCTCTGCTCTGGCTTCTAACACTGCTTGAGTTGCCTGGTCTTTTTGGATTTGGTTGAAATTAAATACAATTGAGGTTGTTGGCATCAGATTTATTTGTGCAGCACTGGTCTCAACTAAAATCCAACTCCAAATATGGCTTACTTTGATGGACTCAAGAGCCCTATTTCCACCAGCCCAGCCCTACTCCTGTAGAGTTGGGCTGGGCTGGTGGAAACAGGACTATAGTTTATGTTACTTTATACAATAAGGGTATTTTCAAGCCATGATCACCTTCTGTCTTTTGTTTTGGGGCTCTCTGAGACAATCCACGTTGCTCGTTGATTGTGGAATGGCGTCACTGCTCTCCTAATAACCTAATGTGGTTTAAGAGATTAAACAGCAGTAAATGGATCATATCTCAGTATATTTCAGTGCGTCCACATCTGGTGCAGGTCTGAGCTGATTAGCACAGCATCTGGATGAGCCGACTCGCTGCCCTCACACTCCCAGATTATCTGTTATAATTGTCAGTGTTGTTATTGAGCCACAGCTGGACTTGGTACACATAAATAACTACCGTAATTTCTGGACTATTAGCCGCTACTTCTTTTTCTAGTTCTTTGAACCCTGCATTGTATATACCAGTGCAGCTAATGTGTGTATTTTTATTGTGGTAGAGTTGGGCTGGTGAAGGAAACTCGTCAAAATAGATGATAGTGAATGAGTTATAGTGAATGTGTTATGGAAGCTAACGGTGAATGAGTGATTGAAGCTAACGATGGAGCTGTTAAATATCTCCTCATTAAATCATGTTAAAACAGTCGTCTATCTGCGACATTAAAACTGCGGCTTAGATTCAAGTGTGGCCTGTAGGTGGAAAAAAAATGACTTTCTTTTAAAATGTTGCTGGTGTTTTTGTTGTTGTGGAGTGTGGAGTCATTGAGACAACACGAGTCAGCATTGTTCATTTATGGGGTGCTTTAAAATGAAACATGGTTATTATCCACAACGGAAAATCCCGGAGGGGGAGAAAAGTCACATGGGCGGAGGGAACATCCGAGATGGCAGCGGAGATCAGTGAGAGCGAGCCGCGAAAGGGGAGCCCGCCAAGCCCATCACTGGAACCCGGCTTACTCCAAATGAAGGAAATACATGCTTTACATTTCATGCGACAGGATTTATTTTATGCTGTATGGAACAGGGAGCCAGACTGGAGGTGATGAAGGCGTGGATGAGGATTTCTGCCGTGGATTGTGAGAGGGAGGGGAAGAGGCGGGCAATTTTGCAGAGATGGAAAAAATATATTTTGAACAGTTTCAAAGTTGGAAATTGGATGTTTCAAAGATCGACAGATATCTCAACTAAACTGTTTTCATAAGTGGCCACTTCAGTGCTGTGGGGTTGTGAACTGGACAGGACCATGGCTGACATGTTTAAACTAGGGTTCTCCGTCCTAAAGCTCGGGAAAAATCAATAGCTTATCTCTCGCCAGACAGAGACCTAAGAGAGAACCAATACATAGGGAAACTATAGATAGAGACTGCAGAGAGAGACTAGAGAGAGGGACCAGAGAGACACCATAGATAAACATCACAGAGAGAAACCAACTGTTAAACTAGCTATATTGTTTAACCTAGTGTTTTTCAACCTTTTTTGAGCCAAGGCACACTTTTTCATTGAAAAAATCTCGCGGCACACCACCAGGAGAAAATGTAAAAATATATACTCTGTAGCCAATTTTCACAATATAAAGTAATTCTCATCAAAGTGCTTAAAATAGACATCCAGGCCTTGATTTTAAGTTTTGTTCAAAATATCTCAATAAAATGAGTTAACAAGAGTTTGGGAATAAAGTGGCACTAACTGTTTGGAAAAAACACGGGTCCATGGTTCTCTCTCCGCAAGTCCATGGTTCTCTCTGTGAGTCCATGGTTCTGTCCATGAGTCCATGGTTCTGTCCGCAAGTCCATGGTTCTCTCTGCGCGTCCATGGTTCTGTCCATGAGTCCATGGTTCTGTCCGTGAGTCTATGGTCCGCGCTCTACCATGTTACGGATGTGCGTTCGCTGAGCTGTCAAAGCTGCTGTCAGTACATCGCAGTCACAGCTGCCCCGGGGTCAGAGCGGAGGATGTGAATCCTGTTCAGAAATGGCATTATTCCTTTACAAAAATGTCTCAATCACTTTCACTTCTCACCATGCTCATGAGCCGCAATGCTCCCAGCTGCCTCTTACATTTGGTGGTCGATTTGGACTCGCCCTACACCCTAACCCTACACTAAAAAAGTTTAAAAGGTCCGGAAAGGTGCCATTGGGCAAGGCATCTCAACCTTTGTCCCAATAACAAGCCAACCGAAGAGTATATAAGTGCATATGAGGCAGGGTGAACAAAATGTTCTGGTGGTGACTAAGATCTTCCCCTAAATGCCAACTGGACAATATCAAAATCGCCTTTAATACACAAAAAAATGAAGCTAGCATGTAGGTACTGTGTGTGTAAGGGGAAGAGAGCTCCAGCTTCGGCAGGAAACACAAAAATAATTTTTAGTCTGCAGTACCCGGTGCCCATTGGTGGGACAGCTTTAAGCCAGTAATACCCTATCCGGATATTGTTATAGATATTATAATGGTCCGCTGAGGGAAAAAATGGCCTTATAAGGAATCTGTCTTCCGTAGGCGAACACTTCAATTTTTCTGAATTCTTAAAAACCCAATCCCATTATCACACACAAACAGCCTGTACCGGATTTATTATCTGATTAATAGTTTCTTCATTTTAATCAATTAGGACCTGTACAAGCTGATATTTTCTAACACAAAAATCTACGTTCCTGAGGCCTCTCCTCCAGAGCATCTGGGAAACCTCTAGATTTGGACACACGGTCAGGACTACTTTGCTGGAGAGAAATGCTCGTTCTTTGGGTTAGTTTACGTAATAAAAACTCTCGTGTTGTTAAGTATGTATGTGTCACCCCCTCACTGGTCTCTGCTTTAAGTCTGTATTTCTCACTCTCACTGGTCTCTGTTATAACATTTAGCTTTATAAAGTATATGCAACCTTTCCTGTTCCCGCTCTTGATTAATGACCTCATATTCTGTTAATTAGACCCTGAGCTCGAGGCACAAAGATTTAATTCCCCCTTCATCATCATCGTCAGTGAAGAAAAAACACAAGTGATTAAAGAGTAGAGGTCTTTGTAAAGATGGGGACAGGCCACAGGGAAGAAGCAGACGCAGAAAGAACCAGGGAATCATAGTAACGGATACGACGGAAACAGGTGCAACATACATTCATAAATCTATGAAAATAGGATACAACTGAGGAGACAACCCTTCAGTTGTTGCAGTGAAAAACCGAGACCAGAGAGAGAAACCAGGGAGAGCAGAGAGAGACAGAGAGAGAGACCTACAATAATTTTCTTCTGACTTACATAAAGTATAAACTGTCATGTTATACTAGATTTTTCAAATGGAAGTTGTTATTTTTTTTACCTGAGCAATATTACATGTTCAAAGATCAGAAACATCACAATTACGTATTTTGCCGACATGGAGCAGCAACAGCAAAATCAATGCCAGCTCTATGAAGCCGTAATGTCCGCAGTATTTACCATTATTTCATTTGTTTAAACGTGTGAGGGATAAACACAAACAGCTTAACTGTGTTTGCTCTCTGCATTCAGAGTGTACGCTCTCAGCACAATGGGACGCGCAACAATAGTGATTAAGGTTATTGTTTTTGCTAATCTACTGTGACAAACACACTTCTCCACAGAGTTCGGCTTAACACGCAGCACTTGGAAAGCGGAGCATCTCTGGACACGCTCCATCTTTATGGCCGCGCTACACTTGTGGGAGCTCGTTTAGCTGATAGTTTTTATGTTTGATTTTGCACCAATCTTTGCAGTCACTGAAGTAAAAAAAAGTCTGACGAGTGGCTGTTAGAAAATGTATACAATCTCCTCCCCCAAAACAGAATGAGTTTCTGAGGAGGTGTGAGGTTGGGCTCAGATCCAGCAGAGGAGACTGTTGTGTGAACATGAGCTCCTCCACATTTGGACAGAACTGCCTGCCTGTCAGTGCAGAAGGGGTCTGGAAC